TTGGATACGTGAAAATCTATGTGGGTTTTGCATTATAATCTTTGTGGGTTTTGTGTCTTGAAATGTAATTTGATTTTGGTCTATTGCAAGTATCTTTGTGGGTTTTGTGTATTGAAGTGTAATTTGATGTTGGTCCGTTGTAAGTGAATTTCTACGTGTTCTTACATTATAATGTGGGTTTTGAGTAGTAAAGTGTAATTTGATTTTGGTCTATTGTAAGTGAATTTGTATGTGTAAACTAAACATACATTATAATCTTTGTCGTTTTAGTGTATTGAAGTGTAATTTGATTTTGATCTATTGTAAATTTATAAGTGAAATTCTGTGTGTTTACATTATAATCTTTGTGGGTTTTGTGTATTAAAGGGTAATTTGATTTTGGTCTATTGTAAGTGAGATTAAGTGTGTGTTTACGTTATAATCTTTGTGGGAAGTTCTCTCTAGGTAATTGATTGGCACCAAGAATCGTATCCTCAGGTATGGAGATTTCCCAGTTCTTCCCTCCTTTTCTGTTTTTTTCCATCACTTCCTTTTTTTCTTGACAGATTTGTCTTTGACGTACTGTGTTCCTTTCAAATTTATTTTTTGTTGTTGTTATCTTTTCAAGTTTGATTGTTAGATCCATCAATTACACACACATATGCTTACATGTATGTGAATAAATACATGTCATATATGGCTGTTTCAAATATATGGTTGGCCAGCATAGAATTTAAATCTAGTTGATTCATCGCCAACCTAGTCCACAAATCATTCCGGAAGGCTGTCATTGTTCTGTTTTTTTCCAATCAATGAGGACCCATTTGAGGAGACTTAACCTTCAATTATGGAGACTAATGGCATTCAAACAAGGGGAAGAGTATGAGAATACAAGTCGAGTAACGGTCGGGAAGGAAATTGTACAAAAGTGTAAGGGAGTTCCTCTTTCCATAAGGTCTATAGGAAGCCTACTATACTATAAAGATACAGATGCTGAATGGTTGATTTTCAAAAATAATGATTTGTCAAAAATAGCTCAAGAAGAGGATGTTCTTTTACCAATACTAAAGTTAAGTGATAATCACCTTCCTCCGTATTTAAAGAGATGCTTTGTATTTTGTTCCTTATATTTGAAAGATCAAAAGATTGTTAAGCGAGAATTAATCCAGTCGTGGATTGCACATGGATTCATTCAGTCATTGTATGAAAATCAACTATTGGAGGATGTAAGAGATTTGTATTTTATGAGTTTATTGAGGAGGTCCCTCTTTCAAGACATTGAAAGAGATGAATGGGGTAAAATAGCAAGTTGCAAAATGCATGATCTGGTCCATGACCTTGCACAATCGGTGTCAAGGCTTGAGAACTCCACTTTGAATTCAGGTGCAAAAAATGTTAGTGAAAGAACTCGTCATATGTCATTTGGTTTCTATTCATTTCGGAAAATTCCAACCCACTTGGTGAGAGCTAAGAAGTCGCGAACATTTATTTTGAAGAATACATATTTAGAACCCAAATCTTTTGAAATGACTGTTTCAACTTTTAAATGTTTCGCGTTTTGATTGTGTCCAACATGTATTTGTTAAATACCGTGCCAAATTACATAAGCAAGCTGAAACATTTAAGGTATCTTGATCTTAGTGGTAGTGATATCAAGGCTCTCCCAAATTCCATAAGCAAGTTACAAAATTTGCGGACTCTAAAACTGAATAGATGTTTCCATCTTGAAGAATTGCCAAGAGATATTAGAAAATTGGTCAGCCTTAGGCATCTTGAGTTTGACCAGTGTCTTAAGTTGAACAGCATGCTGCCATGGGGATTGGGCCAGTTGACGTCTCTTTTGACATTAACAAGGTTTGGAGTGGACTCAAATAGCCGGTTGAGTGAATTGCAAAGCCTAAACAATCTATGTGGACGCTTAACTATTGAAATTCTTGGACGTAGGGACTCAAGTAGCCCCCAGTGTTTGAAAAATGCAACAGCAGAGGGAGCTGAGGCAACGAACTACTTGGAGGCTAAAAAACACCTGAAGTCGTTGATATTATGTTTTGATAGGGTTGATCACGATGATGACGAGTTATTGTTGGAATCCCTACGTCCACACCTGAATCTGAAGGAGCTGAAAATAGAGTATTATGGGGGAATGAGTTTCCCAAGTTGGATGATGATGGTTGACAAAGTTGGCTTATCACTCCCGAATCTCATCAGAATTACTATAGACAGCTGTGACAAATGCAAACATCTTCCACTATTTGGGCAACTTCCTTCTCTCCAGTTTCTGTGTCTTTCTTTTATGTATTCCTTGGAGTACATAGACAACAGTAGTACTGGCAGTGATGGTGAGGTGTCTCTCTCGTCTTTACCCTCTTCTTCATCTTCAATAAGGAGATCAGAGCAAACACCAACACCAACATTCTTCCCATCCCTGAAAGAACTCCAACTCCATCCAATGCCTAATTTGAAGGGATGGTGGAGAGAAGCAGTAGAAGAAGAAGCAACAACAAGTAGTGCAACTCTACTAGACCAACAGAAACATCAACAACAGCATTATTGGCTCCCATCATTTCCTTCTCTTTCCAAATTAAACATCGAATATTGCCCTAATCTGACATCAATGCCTATTCTGCAACCATGTCTTGAACAACTACATCTCGAAAATGTCAGTAACAAGCTAGTTGAACAACAGTTAATGATGACGGTGCCCCCAATTGCATCCAAGTCATCATCCTCTTCATCTTCTTCGCTTCTTCATCTTTCCAAATTAAAGACTCTAAGGGTTGTCAACATTCAGGACCTAGTTACTCTGCCAGAGTGTATAGGCAACCTCACATCACTTGACCGACTTTTCGTTGGCAATTGCCCCAATTTGACATCATTGCCCGAAGGAATGCAACGGCTTGCTGCATTACAACAACTCACAATTACATCATGCACCGACGTTTTATATGATAGATGCCATAAAGAAACCGGGGACGATTGGCCAAAGATTGCTCACATCCGAAATGTTTATATTGCATAATTTCTTCCGTGGCATACCAGGTAAATCCTTTTTTATCTGAATTTTTTTAAGACCATAAAACTCCATCTTATTGCTCTATGTTCCTCCTCATTGTCAATCTCTTCGTTTAAGTTCAATAGATATTTTGTGGGACAGGTACAAACTCGGAAATGTTTCCATGTGTGGATCAAACTTATATAAAAATATAAAAATGGTCGTTTTAGCCTTCTTAGGCTAAGAAATTATTCCAAATAACCATATTGCTTTATTTGCATATAACCCCCTCTCTAACCCTTATTTTTGTGCTCTCTAGTATTTCTTCTTCTTCCTTTTTTATTTTTTATTTTTTATTTTACACTTAAAGAGGTATTTTTGAAGAGAAATATATTAATACTCATATAGATGTATATATGTTTTTCGCTCGTGCAACTTCCATGAATGTAGCTATTGAAAGGAGATAATACTATTGATATTGTCCTTTTACCATTATCTTATTTCTCATTTTGACCCTATCACGAAATGTCAAATGTTCTGTTTGTGCTGGTGTTATGGGGTAGCTTGATGAGCACATAATTGGACTTTGTATAATCTCAAACGTGAGACATGCCATTAGCTTATTATTATTATTATTATTATTATTATGTAAGTTCTATTGACATGCTTGCAATTTTTTTACATTCTTTTCTACAATGATAACTATTTTTTGCAAATTTTGGCTCTAACGTAATAAAGTTCCACCTAATGAATGATTCTCTTAATTGTTGGGAAACAAATTACAGAAAATTGTGAATGCCAAAGAAAAATATAAGGATAGCTACTGCAGAGAGGAAAACAACTATTGTACTTGTTTTTGAAAGAAACTGAGGCCCAATTTCCAACTATTGTAAATTTTTCTCACTATTGTTTATTGATTAACGAAATTCTAAGATGCAAACTAAATGAAGTGAAACATTTTTACAGTTTTATTATGCAGTTTCTATGCCAGAGTGGATAGGCAATCTCACATAACTTGAATAACTTCCTGTCAGAAATTGACATCACTGCCCATTAGGATTCGTCGGCTCACTGCATTACAACTCCTCAGAATTACATCATGTGCCGACGTGTAATATGATAGATGCCTGAAAGAAACAGGGGAAGATTGGCCAAAGATCGCTCGCATCCCATATGTTTATATTGAACGACCTCTGTGGCATACAACTATACAAGGTAAATCTTTTTTTATCTGAATTTGTTCAAGACCATAAAACTCCATCTTATTCTTCTCTTTTGCTGTTCATTGTCACTCTCTTTATGTAAGTTCACTTGATCTTTTCATGGGACAGGTACACAAGATTCATTGCTAGAAATATACAAGATTCGACATTTCATTACAAATTCCAACTAAAAACTAGAAATTATCCTCGTATTTCTTTCTTCTTCTATTTTTTTATTTTACACTCTTTAACACATATTTTTGGATTAAAATATATTTATCTTAATTTTATATATATATATATATATAGACATACATATATTTGTGTGTCTTTTGCTTGTGCTACTTTCATGAATGTAGATGAAGAAGGGAGATGATACCATTGAAATTTCCTTTTACCAATATCTTATTTTTGCTTTTGTACCTTCTAAGGAAATGTCAAATGTTCAGTTTGTGCACGTGTTCTGGGGCAGCGTTATGAGCACATAATTGCATTAGTTTTAGAGTCTTCTTCTTCCTATTCATATTTGTTTAATCTCAAAGGTGAGACATCTTATTAGCTTAACCTTTTTTTAACTTTTTTGAACCAGCTTGTGAACTTTTTACATTTTTCCAGCCATGGTAACTTAATAATTTAAGAAAAACTTTCATATAATCTAACATAATGGAAAATGAAGTGTCATTCTCTTAATTGTTGGGGGAAATTTTTTTTTGTGCAAATTGTTAGAGAGAGAGAAAAATATCTGGATAACTGATTCAAGACGGACTAAATCACTTTCCTTCAAACAATATTTAAGAAATGATGAAACTAGGTCCATATACTGTGTCTACTAGAATGATCCACTAACAACTCTTTTGCTGGACTGACTATTTGCAGGTCTTCGTTAATTTATGCCAGAACTCACCGTGTACGAATAACAGATAAAAGGTGCATCAATAGACAAACTTGCAATCTTCTGATTTTAGGGAGTGAGTGGTTGCCACTTATATTTACCACTTGGTTTCTTCCACTCCCAAGTTACTAGAGTTAGCTTCCGACATACATATCTTTGGCCATTTCTGAATATCCCAAAAACAATCCATGATCTTTTAGCCACATTGAACAATTTAAAACTAGTTGATCATCATAACCTAAACCACAATTCACATGGATCTTTAATGTGAGACTTTGTTTTTTTCCATCGCTTGATAGAAATTTGTAGCTTGTTTTGTTCAGCATATTAGTATGAAGTTTCTGCAAATTTACAGCAAGAAACAGGGTGGAAGCAGGCTAGCAGCCAAAAGGGAGATCACAAAAAACTATGGAACATGAGCAGCCATAAAGAAATTGGTCAAGCTGTAGACAAAATTTTGTGTACTCGAGATGAGTCAGCAAGAATCAGAGATTAAGGTTACAACACCTGATTCACATCAGGTCACTATACATTTTATTTTCCACTTTTCTGCCTGCTTTAGATTAAGACTTTATTTATTTATTTTTTTTCTTTCCATGTTGCAGGAAGGAGCAGGGATATTCAATTCCGATAGGGAATATAAGTTGTGAACATATGTTTAGTGGTGGAAGAGACGAGCAATAACCAGGGAAATAGCAAACGAGTCCAAGATGATCAGATTACCTGTAAGACACTTTACCAGTGAACAAATTGTTTCAAATTCTAACGCCACGCAAGTTTTGATTTTTGAAGGAGTTACTTGTGACTTGTGAGAGTCCCTTATTATGTATTGCCTTGCTATCAGGAAGTACAGAGAGCTGCTCAGAAAGCTTACGATGTGGAAAGGGATGATGAGATTGTACTTTAGCAGCGGCCAACCAAGCAGCCAATGCAGCTAGAGTTACTGCTGTGAAGGGTTGATCCACAGTCACTTGAATGACTTTACATAAATAAATTGGTCGTCCAGACTTGCAACTTCGTCGGAATCTTTAAGCAGAGCCACTGTCTATATATCAGCTATGGCTTTTATGAGTAATGTGGCCCTCAAATGTGCTTTAAACGTTCACGTTTTTCTTCTGCAAACTCACCTAAGCAAGAAATGGAATTGCTTAACACACATCTGCTTTTTTTTTTTTCTTTCTGAAAATAAACATATATGCCTTGCTGCGTAAATCGTTTAGATTTCTTTGTTTTTGTTAATTGATTGTGGATCATGTTCTTCTATGCAAATGCCCTCAAAATTGGTCCATCTGGTGCTATAGCCTTCTTTGCCTTGATTTTTCTGATTTTTCGTGGAAGAGTAGATGGATGATGTTGATGCAAAAATGGAACCAGAGTGATAATCCAGCTGATTGCATTAGTTTAGAGGAATGCGTGGAATTTTTAAGACAAAGTCTAGTCCTCATGTTATTGTATCTAAAGTTTGCTGGGATTTTTATGATTTCTGAAATATCTAATGTCACTGTAGGAGTTGGGAAATCCCAATCCCAGAGAAAGTCTCTGTCATTCAATGAAGTCCTCCTTCATATGGTTGTTTAAAGTTGAAGTTCTGATGCAGCTTATAACACGGATACAACTGATTGTGGTAGAGGAATCGAATGTTGCAAATTGCCTCTGTTTTTCAGCAGATTAGCTCATTGGTTTCAGCAACCGAAGCTCAGAGAGCTCTGGTTTTCCAAGAGGCTGAAGCTGATTTGTCAGTGGAACTTCATCAATGTCATGGTTGAAGGCGACTGTAAGCCGGTTATACATGGTAATATCCCGTAATATTATACGTCTAATGGCTTACCCAATATATATGTACCACATATTAGTATATGTCTAATGCTTGGTGTATGTTTTGTATCTTGCTGAAGTAGAAAGGCTTTCATTCATTACATAGTTTATAAACAACAGAACAGGCATCTAAAAGTAACTATTACAAAAAAATAAAAATAACACTATTATTATTATTATTATTTAGGAGGAAAAACAAAGAAAAGAGATAATATAATATAAATAACGAGCTATAAACAAGGGTAGTGCAAGCTACCTTGTTGGAAACTATCTACTGGAGTCGCACGTCCCACAAATAACCGATTGGGCATTGTAGCATTACTTCAGCCCTTGGCGGTCAGTACATGCTACATTGTTTAGCAGCATATTTCATCAGTATGAAAGCTCAATTCAGGCAATATGTTCCACCACCATAAACGGACGGATCTGAGATTACAGGAACCTCTATATCTCCTTCCAACATCTTCAATGCGTCCAAAATGGTAGGCCTCGAGGCCATCATCGCGTGAGCACACAAAATCCCAACAAGTACAAATGTTACCATTATCCCCTTGGAAATTGGATTGGCAAATTCATTATCTCCCAACATTGAAGCATCCAAAACCTCCTCTACATTGCCTGCTTTCACCAATGACCAAGCCCAATCCGTTATAAAAAATGTGCACCGCGATCCTGAGGATGACAAATGAAGTGCTTTCCGCCCACACATGATTTCCAACATAACTACTCCGAAGCTATAAACATCACTCTTTTCTGTCAATTGCCCATAAAATGCATATTCTGGGGCTAAGTAACCATGTGTACCGGCCACTCTGGCGGTCATGAGATGAGGCTGCACTACTTGTCTGTTCCGTTTCACTAACCCAAAATCTGCCACTTTTGCTCTCATATCTGCATCTAGTAGTATATTTGTGGACTTAATATCTCTATGATATATTGCAGGCTCCACGCCATAGTGAAGGTAAGCCAGACCCTTCGCCACGTCCAAGATTATGCTCCTCCTTTGAGGCCAAGTCAATGGTTTCATCTCAATCCGATTCCCATTTTCTGGCAAGAAAAATAAATGGTCTTTGAGATTCCCATTTGGCATGTAATCATAAACGAGATATCTACAACACACTCCATTTCCATTATTCTCATCTTCATCCGTCACACAACACCCTCTAAGCCGCACTAGATTCCGGTGCTTTAATGTGCTAATAATCTCAACTTCATTGCAAAATTCAGCAACGCCTTGATTTTCTGATTCTGTGATCTTTTTAACGGCTACTATTGTTCCATCTTGCAGTATCCCTTTGTACACGATCCCAAACTGGCCTCGCCCAATTTTATTCTTGGGCGAAAAATTATCAGTTGCCTTCTCAAGCTCTTGAACCTTGAACCTTTTCACTTCAAACTTGGGTCGCCAACGATGGCGTGTTCTTTGGTCATCTGAATCAAACCCAATATTACCCGAAGAACCGTTGGATGATTTATTCTTCTTCAACCTCCATCTCTTCCGCCAGCACCACAAACCCAACATACAAGTGATCATGACACAAATGGTGACAGCAGCTCCAGCTGACCAATAAACCAGTCTGGATTTGCCCTTACTCTCCGATCCTGAACTTGCAAATTTCCAACGCGCTGCAACCCCAATGATGCACCAGAGTACACCCATACTCTTGGGGCCCAGCTGGTTTACAAAGGCGGCTGCATAAAGAACCACATAATAAAAGCAATCTGTGGAGTGAGACTTATTCCCATCAATGGAAATCAATTTGGATTGAACCTGGAAGCCAGCAGCGACGCATGCATCACAGTAATTTAAGTCATTGAGATCTTGTCGACAGTTTAAGTCGAGGCCGGTGGACGGCCCAAGGAGGTCGAGCCAGTCTTGCCGGGATTGGATACGGGCACATTTGTCGGTGGTGCTAACGAACTGCTGGGGTTCAAAACACTCAGAAGTGAGATCGGAAGGCAGAGAGAGAGAGTTGAGCTTGGTTTGGAATTGAGAGAGGCAAGAAATGGAGGTGGGTAAGTCAGGAAGTAGGAAGAGAGAAGTGTCTTTTAGGTTTTGGGACAGGGCTACACCATATATGCTGAGGAGGGTTTGGCAACAATTTGTGGCTGTTATGTTGTTTGTATGGTAGTTTTGGCAACTAGAGAAGTCCCATTGGTAGATTTGGAAATAATCAAGGCTCATGGGGCATGAGGTTGTGTTGGTTGGGGTAGATAAGGCTGAGCTTAGAGAGAAAATAGAGAGAGAGACCAATATTGACATTAACACAAGATGAAACTTCATCTTTGAGAGAGAGAGAGAGAGGCTATGCCACTACAGTTAGAGAAGTTAATGAGGCCATCTTAGTAAGAGCTTCCTGGAGCTTTCCCCTGTGATTTCGAGGGTTGGAAACGTCAACTAGGTAGAAAATTCATAGATGCTTCTTTGAGCTTTCCCTTATTGTAATGAATAGGGACAAACTTGGGTCCCAGTTCATCCATCCAAAGGATGCAATAAGGGAAAGCTCATGGGTAGTTTTGGCAATTAGAGAAGTTCCAATGGTAGATTTGGATATATTTCTAGGCTCATGGGGCATGAGGATGTGTTGGTTGGGGAAGAAAAGGCTGAGCTTTGAGAAAAAAACATAAAAAGAGAGACCAATATTGACATTAAAGCAAGATGAAACTTCATCTTGGAGAGAGAGAGTCTATGCAGCTACTTTTGTTTTTTGTTTTGTTTTTTTTTCCTGACAAACAAAAACAACACTACACAATAACATGATTACAAAAAACATCCATTGCGAACACACGGATGTGATTAGACAAACAATAGACAACAAAAAAAGCCATCATATGAGAGGAACACAACGATTTAACAAACAGTCTATAAAGCTACTGTCGTTTTGGGGGCTTGAAAATACCTGTGAAAAATGTTATGGGGTCATCTTGGTAATTTCGATAATTTGAAGCGTCAACTAGATTAAAAAACCATAGATGCTGCCAATATTTTATAGCGCACGCAAGTTCCTAGAATCAGCATCCATCCACTTTTCAAACTTCTACGTCTTTGACTTTTAAATATTACTGTCCTTGTCAAGTTTGACCAGAATGCACCAAATTCAAAAAAAAAAAATCGAAGAAGATTGGAACAATTTTTTTTAGAATTATTGTCCCTTTGACAGAGAAGAATTTGTTACTAATATTGTTATATAACAAATTAGGATAAATTGTAGAAAAATATTCCTATACTATCATGAATTGAAAAGTACTCCTAGTGATGCATCTAATTTCCTAAATTATAAAATAATAACAATAATAAATAAATTACAAATAAGTTACATTTAATTTTATTCAAATCAAGACTCAAGGAGACAAATTTTATTAAATGGCCGGGACTACATGATTGAGAATCATTTAATAATTTCTCTTAACGTAGGACTTTTAGGTGTGTCCACGTGCACACAGACAGGGCAAGAAGCTTGAGGTCATGGTCCTTTCATTTTGTGGTGAAGTGGTATGTTGTTGTGTGGTGAAGGGTAATTTAAGAGAGAGAGAGTGTGTGTGTGTGGAGAGGGAAAATTATTAAATAAAAATAACATAATTAATTAAAAATGAAATAGAAGAATTCAGATTCCAAATGAACAAATTTGTGTGTGGTGGTGAGATTTATAAAGTTCTCCTGTTGTGTTGGGCAAAGTCGTGATTGCGCAAACTCGTCCTTTGAATTTTGTAAGTCCTATAACAGGATACAAAGATTTAAAGAGCAAGCTCAACCTTGAATCTTGTGAGTGCGATGACAGGATACACAAATTTAAGGATTGAGATTGAATAGTTGCTACTGCAATTCGTATTTTTGTACAAAATATAAATAGAGTGAAATTTTAAAGAAGAATAATAGGAAGAAAAAAAAAAAATCCTAAAAGACACTTTTCAATTTATTACCTTTAATTAGGGAAAAAAAAATTATTATACCTTTTATTCTTCCGTTGAAGCATTGGCTACCAATCAATCACTACACCCAAGCAAGCAGGAGTGTTAACTTTATTCCATTTTCCAAGTAAAAAAAGTTGTAGTTAGCTAGTGTTATATAGTTTCTGATCATATAATAAATTTTCGTGTTTTGGGGTCTGCTCATATGCCTATTAAGACATGCTTTTTGCTCATACTCGGACTCGAATCCCTCCCCACTCCCTCCTCTTTGAAGATAGAAAAGTTATTCCATTGAAGGATCATAAAATTTAAATAACCATTTTAACCCTTCATACACTAGAGGCTTGTTTGGTAAAGTTGTGATTTTCATTTGGATGTAATTTCATTTTTATGAATGACAAGTTTTGAAAAGTAGTGCTCTCATATTTGTCAAAATCAAATCAGCTTGGTAAGGTACATTTGTTTTTGAATTTTTGAAAAAACAAAAGAGAAAATATGTTTGATAATTTTTTTTTTTTATAAAAAAAATAACTCTTTTATTTAATATTTGGGTATAATTGAAAAATAATAAAATAATATTTTTAATTTAACTAATCCAGTATAATTAAAAAAATAATATTTTTAATTTAATTATTCAAGTATAATAATATATATATATATATATATATATATATTAATTTTATTTATTATTTGAGTATAATTGAAAAATAAGAAAATAAAATTTTATTTACTATTCGAGTATGACTGAAAATTAATAAAATAATATTTTTAATTTTACTATTCGAGTATAATAAAATATTTTAATTTTTAGTTTTTACTTACTATTCAAGTATAATTGAAAAATAATAAAATAATATTTTATTTACTATTCGAGTATAATTGAAAATTAATCAAATAATATTTTTAATTTTACTATTTGAGTATAATAAAATATTTTGATTTTTAGTTTTTACTTACTATTTGAGTATAATTGAAAAATAATAAAATAATATTTTATTTACTATTGGAATATAATTAAAAATTAATAAAATAAATATTTATAGTTTTACTATTACAATTTAATAAAATATATATTTTTAATTTTAGGGTAAAGTATATAGACACCCTCTGAGATTTGGGATAAGAACAGACAGCTAAAGCTTAACTTATTTTAGGACAAAGACATCTTTGATACAGTAACCAAAGACATCCCAATGGTAATGAATCGACATTTCTACCATTTAACTTTTATATTGACCCATATGAATATTGAAATTACCTTTCTAACCCCCCTCTCTCTCTCTATATATATATATATATATGTATGTATTTGTCTCTCAATAATTTGTATATACACATATATATCATCAACGAAGAAAACAGCGCGTCCTTTACCTCGGTGCCGACGATGGCCTGCTCCTCGCCGGCTCATGATTCTTGTACAGAGCTTCGACGAGTCCATGGCAGAGAGCTCCGCCGATGGTCGTGGCCCACTCCTCGCCGACGCATGATGTTCTACAGAGCTCCGGCTATTCCATTGCAGAGAGCTTTGTCGACTCTAGATCTTTCGAATCCAACGAGGCCGACTCTAGATCCGCGAGCACAAAGGTGACCGAACCTTCAACAACCATTCATGGTTCTTCCTCCGTGACCGTAGCCAAACTTGAATAGAACCGCGAGCTCTGAGCAACATCAAGCTCTACAATGAAGACCCAGCTCAGGCAAAGCACCGAACGAATAGCGACCTAAAATAGAGAACTTCAACGCCCCAGTTCCGATGGTGACGAGACCCACTTTATGATTTCAACCAATCTTCTGTCTAGAGAGAGAGAGAGAGAGAGGGGGGGGGGACAAACCCATATATTCAATGGTGAATCAAGTGTGCTATGTTGGGGTTTAAAAAGTCAAAAATGGCGACTCTACAGTATAAATCACCAAAAAAAAAAATAACAGAGGAAACGTTTCACAGTCAAATGCGAAGTCGCGGAGTCTCTAATTTCGTCATTCTTCACTGGAGACAACAATTTGAGAAACAAATTAGCGAAACAGAGCTCACAGGACGCGTTTTAGGTTAATTCTTCGAAGTTGTTTCCGAAAGATGTAGTACAGAAGTAGCCAAAGGTGATCAAGCCTTTGTACATTTAAGTTTCAAAGCGGTACAACGAGAAGACGAAGTTTTCAGATGAGTCGTTGATGGTGACTCTGATGTCGTCTCCCGCAACGGCGCTGGTTTGTTCGCCGAGAAAGCAAGCAGAGGAGAAATAGGGGAGTCGACGGTGGTACTCCGCCTATTTTTTCTCGTTTATTCCCTCCGATTGCTCCATCGATGAAGACACCAACAACAACAACCCAATCGGTGTCGATTTTATGCAATCACTCGAATACTAACGCCTTATACTCTCGCTTTCTCGTCGGGCACCAAAACCTCGTCAGTCGCCATGATCTAAATATCTAATTAGAAACTAAATTAAGCTTTCTTCGATGAAAATTCAAATTGCAATAAAGAAACAAGATGACCACAAATCACTGTTGTTAATATCGCTGCAAATTTTTTGGTACCAGGTAACTATGTCTGGAGAAGATGACCATATTTTATCACATGTTTGCCACGTCAAGGATGAGGGTATTTTTGACATAAAGATCATAAGAAAGAGGTTAGAAAAGTAATTTCAATATTCACATATGTCAATATAAAAGTTAAAAGGCAAAAATGTCATTTCATTACCATTAGGGTATCTTTGGTTACTGTATCAAACTTGAGGGGTGTCTTTGTCCCAAAATAGGTTAAGTTTCATCTGTCTGTCCTTACCCCAAACCTCAAGGGGTGTCTATGTACTTTACCCTTAATTTTATTTATCATTTGAGTATAGTTGAAAATTAACTAAATAATAAAAAATAGTATTTGAAAATCAAAGTTTCGTTTTAAAGTTGCAGAAATTATGAAGGAATTACGTTTAGACAATAGAATTATCAAACCAATTTTGTTTTCCTAATTTAAAAAATTTAAAAATTAAAAACTATAACAAAAAAACCTAAACTGAAAGCCTTATAAAAAAGGCCCTTTAGTTTCAAGTGTCAACCCATTTAAATCGGGTTAAAAATATACCTCATGAAACACCCAAATATCACTTTTGTTCCCCAAATCAACTGCTCCAAGTCTAGCAACTTTTGTTCCCAGAAACCTTAAATCCAGCTCTGTCTCTCCCTTCCTCTGTCTCTCTTAATGTCAACTGAAATTAGAACACAAAGACAACAAAACTGTATCAGTCTTCCATAGAAAGATATATATATATATATTATTTTTCACATATACATCTATATTAATATAGTTGTTGAGTACTTACATTCATTCGAAGAGCTTCAGAGTGTAGGAGAGAAGGAGAGCGAAATCTGGTGGGTCTCGATTGTGGCGGTGATTTTTGGTGTTTGATTTGGATTATGGTCAGTGAGAAATCTTGTGGGTTTTAGATAGGGGGCAGTGAAAAATGAATATTGATGCCAAACATGCTCCACATGTTTGACGATTTGCTCGAGAGAACCGCAACTTTTATAATCGAAACGATTTTTATAACTGAAATGAGACAATGACGACAAAGAGGCCATGGAAGGAAAGGGTTTAGAGATCAATAGCTTGTTTCGAACCAATCGGCGCACCATGGACGATAGCGTGCGTATTGCTCCTTCGTTACCTCTCCCTGTTAATGGGCAAAACAGTAATTTCAATTTTCTGTTAGTGCTTTTTTTTTTTTTTTGTTAATTTGGAGTCGACCAGCACTCATAATTCACTGCTTATCCGAATGAATTTGGAAGATGTTGGAAGGAGATATTGAGGTTCATGTAATTTCAAATACACCAGTTTATGGTAATGGAATATATTGCCGGTTTAAATAAGATCACATGCTCAGCTAAACTCATAGCTTGTGCTGGGTCAAGAAATACAGTTATTGCTGTTTCTTTGCAGCTAGCTAGCTAGCTAGCTTATTGTCATGGGCTTAGAGTTTTAGCACCATTCTAGCTACTTCTGTGCGGTACCAAGACGTTGTTTCTACTCTTGCAAATACTTGGTCAGCCTAACTTCAGTGCATACCTTAGCCAACGCACTCCCTCGTGCGCTTACTAATGTTGTAGTGGCCCTCGCCCTCTCCTCACTTGGCTTGCACACTCACACACACTAAGACACTTACGTTGGCAAGAAAAGAACATTTTTATTACTTCAAATAATGCTTTGTACAAGGCTAGCTCTCAAACTCTCTACAAGGCTCTCAAACT